GCCCATTATTACTGATTCAATATGTCCAGTTTCCAATGTGTAATAAAATGTTTCATTATTAAATGAAGCCTATAAAAAAAGAAAAATCATTTCAAGAAAATATTCTTTCCAAAAAAAAAAAAAAATTCATTAAAATAATTGAGCTAAAACAAAAGAAAAAAAAAGAAATGTTTACCTTTAAATCGAGACCATCCGTTTCTTCCTGATATTCGGCATTCATTCGTGGGAATATATTACGTATTAGTGAATGACCAAAACGAAATGCTGCTGTTGCCATTTCTTGCGTCATTGTCGCATCACATTTATCATCATATCCTAAATTATTATTGAATTTTTTAAAAAAAGAAAAATTTTTTTCAAGTATAACTTCATTCAATAAATACAAAATATAATAAGATTCAAAATTATCATTTCTTTATTATCTGAGCATCATATTTACTATTCATATTCTGAAATTAAATGAATATTGTAAATGAATTATTCCGATCTAACTTAATTAAATACAAAATATGATGAGATTAACAATTAATTACAATTTAATTACCTTTATAATAGCCTGTTTTTTTTGGCACAAGATCATATCTTGCAGCAGCTTCACAACCTACTACAATTGGTAACCATTCGTTATAGATAATATGTTGTACTTTAGCACCCATTATACGTCGTGTTTCCTAATATTATATTAATTTCTATTAGTTAATAAAATATTTTAAATTTAAAAACTTAACTTTAGATTTAAATGAAAATAATAAAATTAGAAAATTAATTATTACCAAATATATCTTTTCATCAGACCAAAAATTATTGATACGACTTAAGCTTGTTGCAATACGATTATGTTCTCTAAGAAATAACGTATGCATAACGGTAAGGCCTGGTTGTTCATTATTACGTTCATCACCTGCATTGAAACATGGATGTTGTGGTTGAGATCTAAAAAAAAATATTCTTGCCGCTTAGTTTTTTTTTTTCTTTTTTAATGATCAAAAATTTGCAAAAATTGAGTAAATTTTTATTCCAAAATAGCTAAGTTTTTTTTTTTCACTCTTTTGTTTGATAATTAAAATTTTGAATGAAGAATGTTTGAATTCATGCCAAATTATTGCTATAATTTTCAGTTGGATTATGTGATGCAAAAAAACCTGCAATCTCTTTCCTGACGTCCTTGTGGTAAGGCTTCTCGATTGAAGCCAAGATCTGTAAAGTTCAATCGTCCTTGGCTAAACAAGCGTAGCTTATTTGCTTCACATTCCGTTGAACCATAAATAAACGAAGCATCAATGTAGGAAGTTAATTGATCCAGCTAAAATTAAATGATTAAAATTTGAAGATAACGATAAAGTTTTTTTAAAAACTTCATTCTTAAAAAAAAAAAATGACTTTTATTAAAATTAGAATAACAGTAATAGTAAAGTTATGTTCACACCTGATTTCGATATCCAAGTGTAAGTTGTCCGAGAAGTGACCTAGTAAATGCTATACATCTTGGTTCACCATTATCATGCAAATGTGGAAAATATGGATCACCATTTTCGATTGGTATCGGAAAACAATGTATGGATACAGTTTTAGCTGAATCACAACGACTACAATCCAAAATCGTATTTCCAGGTCCTGTCAATAATAATTGTATTATAATAGTGATAATAAATGATAATGATAATCATAATAAGAATAATAATATAGCAATAATAAATAACAATAAATAATAGCAGTAATAAATCAGAATTTTGAAAATACGAAAAATAAATTAAAAATTAAAAAAATTAAAAGCAAAAATTTTAATGATAAATATTTTGTAGCAATTACAAGACATTATTTATTATACTAATAAATATGGTTATATTATTAAAACAAAACAAAAAATACTTTTTTTTTGCTATTTTTCAAATGAATAAATATTAGAATTGAAATTTGAAACTAATTGATTAAACCTCTTGAAACTGGCGAATGTGCAAAATCATGATCAATTATTTGTCCCATTTGCATTAACATATGAGTATATTTAGCATGAAATAGTGGTGCTTCCGTATGCACAATATTTGATATTTTTCGGGCTGATGGTAATTTACGTCCATTATTACGACCAAATATACGTGGACTATCAAAACCTATCAATAATATGATTAATATGATAATATCTTATATTTATATTATATGTAACAAAATTTATTAATAATTTTTAAGTTTAAAAAAAAAAAAAAGAATTACCATCCTCATAAACGGGATCCAATAAACGACGCATTGGTGCAAATGCATTTCCGTAGTGTGGAAATTTTAAATTATTACACCAACCGGAAAATGTACGATATTTAGTAGTATGATCACAAGGTAATGGTCGTGGTAAGCATTCTTCCATTGATGGATTTTCTTCACCCAAAAAATTCGTAATATTTCCAACAAATTGTGTAACGTCAATTTCAGGAAGTAAACGTTGCAACGTAGCCAAATCTAATTCTAACGGTAAACGTTCTTGTTCACTTAGACCATCACTAAATTTTAAAAAAAAAATTTTTTTCTAATAAATTTAATATAAATTTTCAAATTTAAAATTAAGAAAAAAAGACAGAATTTTTTTCGAAACAATTAAATTTACCCTCTCAATAAAACTTTGGTTGTTTCTCGAAGAACTTCAGCACGATGCGAAATTTCCAATGACTCTTTTTTTGGTGCTAACAAATTTGAATGTGCATAAACGGCCAAATTTCGATTTCTATTTTGATTACCATTTGTTCCTAATAAACAAATACAGGATGAATATGACAAAAATAACATTTCAAGTATACATTCGTGAGCAAATAAGATTTAAAAAAAATCAATTTCTACAATTTTTCAAAGCCTGAAAAAATGCAAAAAAGAAGATGTTAAGCATATTTTATCAATTAACCTTGTTTTTTGATCCGATCTGCTTCTGCTTCATTTAAACGTTTTGCATGTTCAGCACCCAATCGTACTGCTTTTTCTAACGTAGCCTTTGTTATGGGTAATTTGAGCCTAGGCTCTTGATCAACCCATTGTGTCAGATCGATCGTATCAATTATCGTTGAATTACAATACATGGGACAATTCCTGTATGGAATAAAGAATATTTGAATAAAATTTTGATCTAATTCAGGAATTATTCCTAATTCTTAATTATTATACTCCTCGTATTTTTTGCTTCTTGTTTTTTAAAATTCTTTTTCTTAATAGATATTTTCTGCCATCCACTCTATCACTTTTTTTTGTATTTCTAATAATTGTATACAAGTTAAAGTATAAAAAACACT